CATGGGTGGCGACATTCAAAAGGCTGGGGCCCAGAGAGAACAAAAGGATTAGCAGGAGGAAGTCCACCAGCATAGGCTCGCTCTGCTCCCACAACCCCCTGTTCTGCCATGATTCCATCGATTGATCTTGGACTAACACTTCTGAAACTCTGAGCCAAAATCAATCTTTCCTTCCTGGTTGACAGGTATTTTGTCTCAGACACGGAAAGTCTATCTTAGGGGTATTTGGCCAGGGGAATTTACTAACTGCAAATCAAAACAGCACTTCAGTTCCATTCCAGCTTCAACACAGGGCTGAAGTAGGCTGAGCAGCAGGGCCTTACCACCAGAGCATCCAAATGGGAGCTGACTTGGAAAGAAGGCTTTTGCAGACAGTTAAAGATAATGATGAGATTATACTAGATTAGGGCAGACCCTAAATCTAATGAAAGTGACCTTATACGAGACAGAAAAGGACAGAGACATCCAGGGAAAGCCTGTACAGGAAGTCTGTGACATTGTTTCAAGTGAAGGGATGCTGGGAGATACCAGAAGCAAGGCTTTCGAGCCTTACAGGAAGGCAGTCCTGAGGAAACCTTGACATGGAATTTGAAAAGATAAACCTCTGCCACTTAACCACAAAATTTGCTGTTATTTGCTGCAGCAACCCTACAGAGCAAATACAAAGATTTTCTTGTGGGGTTAAGATAAACACACCCCACCTCCAATCAGTAATATATTTTAAAGGAAAAATGTTGCTGGGTTCCATCTAAGTTTAGGGTACATGGTTTCGACATGTTTCTGCCTCAGTCTATAAGAGACTGGAGAGATGGCTCGGTGGTTAAGAGTTCAGACTGCTCATGCAGAGGATCCAGGTTTGGTCCCCAGCACCCATGGAGGGGACTTACAAGTGCTGCAATCCCAGGCTCCGCTGTCTCTATAGGAATTGTGCTAACACTGTGATACCTTCCCCACCCTGCCACACAATTAAGCATGGTTTTAAAAAAAGACATATTGCTAATGTAGAATTATAACCCATAATGGGAAAAAATAATCACAGGAAGCTACTCGGACTTTAGGGAAATTTTACACAGCAGGAAAACACTCATTAAATATTCCACAGATAATTAGCTCAAAGGCAGAACAGTTTGGGAGACAAAGCACTACAATAATGAGTGTTAAAGATTGTTATTTCCCTCATTTTTCTAGGATTAGCATGTCTTTCTGATGAGATTTTCTGCTATGTTGCCAGAGTTAATGATGATAACACAACCAAGGGACAGTACAAACTTGAATAAATAAATCAAGGATGGCTTTCTGGTTCATCAGCAACAGACTCAGAACACAGGTGCTTAGCAAGCAGAGTGATTTGATTGGTCTCCCTGTTCTGTGTCCATTGTTCCACGTCAAATGTAACCCTGGAATTAGTGGGCAATTACCATTTTAGCTTTTCTGGGGATAGTGAGTGCATTTACTCAGCCCCCTTCCATTTTCTCTGACCTTCCACATCCATCATCTCAACAGTTGTTTTTTTTGTTCTTCTGAACATCTGTACTGATGCGATGAATGCATATGGTGGAATGGTGCACAGGGTGATTTCATATCTTAATCACATTACCTGAACCGGAATGGCTCAGGAAACTTCGGACTGTAAGCCTTGCTATATGCTCTCAGTTTTCTAGAGGACAGATGGAGGCAGACAGTGGTATGTTTTCAGTGCACTGACTAAAGGGTCGATCACTGTGGACATAACAGTGGGAGCCCCCTGAATGGGGTATACAGAACATAGTGGAGCCCATGTTTCCTATGAGATGCACACACACATCTGGGCTCTTTAGCAAAAATAACACGGTAGCCCGAGCACCAAGTGGCATTACTCTTTCTCTCATTCCCAATAGATGGTACTGCTCAAAGTCCAGAGCACGCTCCATTTCTCCACAGCTACCTGGTAACAGTCGTTCTCCCGCTGCCGTGGACACTGGCTCTACCTCTTGTTTGTGTCAGTAACTGTGTGTGGGCTGTATGCCACAGCCACTCTTCCTCACTTCATCTTAAATTGGATTTTATTAAGAATATCATGTTCCCTGAGAACATGTCCTTGTTCTGAGCCAACATCCACCCGAGTCACATCTAATAAAGACCTGACTGGAACAACACCAAGACTACAGGGGCAATATTTGTTTTGGAGGGCTTTCTTTCCTATGGGTGATGTTAACTTTCATTCATGTTCCTTCTAAGTATCAGGGATATAATCATACGGTTTCAATCGATGTCCATTTATGCCTCAACTTTACCCTTCTAGATGCTAAACTTCTTTTCCTAATAACCAAAACTACAGCTGACCTTTAAAATGCTATAACTGTGTATTTTCTCGTAAGTAGTGCTTTGAGGAAGTATGTTAAGAGGAAATGATGACATATAACATAATGGAAAACGTAGGTGCTCCCGATGCACAAAAGGAGTTTTTTCTTTTTGCTATGCTGGGGATGAACATGCTAGGCTACACTATACCACTGAACTACAGCCATATCTTCAGTACTTGTGTGCATGTGAGCACCTGCAGATGTCTGAAGTTGGTGTTGGGTATCTCCCTTGACTGCTCTCTACCTTGAAATTTTTTCATTGACTCAGGGTCTCTCAATGAACATGGAACTACCTAGAAGGCCACCCTAGAAAGCCAGCTTGCCCTGGAGATCAAATCTCTGCCTCCCAAGTACTGGATTACAGGTCGATGCCACAGCTGGCCAGTTTTTGTATCAGTACCGGGATATGAATCCTGGTCTTTATGCATGTGAGACAAGTACTTTATCAGGTGAGCCATCTCCATAAAACCTTCCAGGGTTCCTTATCCTACTTCAAGTTTTGTACTTTTATCATTTAAAGATGTTATTCGTTGTGAAGGGTAGAAGTCACAGACAGGAATATGCTTGCTGTCCCCAGGCTGAACAACTGTATCCAACAACTCACTGATGATGATGAACCAACTCACAGAAGATTCCTGGGGGCTAACTACTTCTGAAATGCTAAAGTTTTAAAAACTCAGATATGCAGCTGGGCAGTTGTAGTGCACGCTTTTAATCCCAGCATTTGGGAGGGAGAGGCAGGTGGATCTCTATGAGTTCAAGGTCAGCCTGGTCCACAGAACAAGTTCCAGGACAGCTGAGGCTACCCAGAGAAACCCTGTCTCCAAAAAAAAATTAGATATGCCTTTCTTTGGCAATAATATTTTACAAAATCCCATGTTGTAACTCAGTGTCACAAGGACATGTGACTATCCTTCAACACTTTACCTTTACATTTGTGGTACACGTCTAAATTAGACTAATTACTGTTTGGTATGAATTTTTAGAAAAGCTAAAGTTTATTTCTAGGGATCAAGGAAAGAAATAAACTCCATGAGCCTCATGAGATGGCTTGGTGGGGAAGGGTACATATCAATAGCAATGACATGAGTTCAATCCCTGTAGCCCATATGGGGGAAGCAAAGAACCAAGTCTGGCAAGTATGTCCTCTGACCTGCATCCCCCCCAATAAATAAAGTAAAAAAGAAAGGTACTCTATACAAAACACAAAATGTTGTTTTCATAGAGTTGTTTGGAGATACTTTCTTTTTCAATTATTTTTAATTTAATATTCATGGGTGCTTTGCCTGCATGTATGTGTGTGCACCACGGGCATGCCTCGTGCCCCTGAAGGTGAGAACAAGGCACTGGATCCCTAAGCAGGTGTGAACTACCATGTGAGTGCTGGGAATGGAACGTGCGTCCTCTGGAAGAACAGTCAGTGCTCTTAACCACTGAGCCATTTCTCTAGCCCCTGGATATACTTTCTAATATGCATCAAAGAAATCAACAGTTTAATCACAAGAAAACTGGTAAAAAAAAAAACAAATGGTTTAGTGAAGAATCAAAGGCAGATGCTAATAGAAATAATGCTTTATCCAAAGTCCCTGGGAACCAATAAATACTAGTCTATTGTTAAGGGGGCACAGGTATTTTAAAATGGCAATGAAACTTTCCTACTTTGAAGCTTCTAGGTTTCTGTTTACGTGAAAATTCTGGGCCTTAGTGGTGCAAATCTTTACTCCCAATATTCAGGATGCTGAGACAGAAGGATCGTTAAGTTCTAGGCTAGCGTGGGCCATATCAAAGACTACTTCAAAAGCCCAACCAATCAACCAACCAAATGAAAATTCTACGTAAAATATACAATGATACCCTACTTCAAGATGTATTGAGACAAAATACTGGTTTTAATAGGAAAGATGAATTTGTAAATTTTCAAGGGCACTTATAACAATAATAAATAATCTAGGAAACACTGGCAATTTGAAACAGAAAAATTCCTGCCTTTGGACGTACGGTGTAAAGCTGTAAGACCTTAATTGTAACGCTCTAACTTGTATCATGGACCAAACAGGAAAGCTATACATGACAGGCATTTTGTTATTCTGTTCAGGTTCACACCAACTCTACAACTCAGGGACCAGCTCTGAGCTGTGCCTCGGAGAAGTGTTCAGAGTACAGTATTTGGGAAACCTAGTAGTGTTAGGGAGAAGCATGGCACAGAGAAAGATACATGATAGAGTGCAGTCTGGAAGACCTGAATCTGAACAGCAAATGAGTAGTTGTGTAATTAACCTCCTTAAGCTTCACTTTTCTCATTTGTAAAATGAGTTCTATGCCTTGAGGGGATGCTGTGTGGATTAGAGAGGGCACACAAGCATCGACACACACACACACACACACACACACACACACACACACACACACACACACTCCATCTGGCTGAGCGATGCTCAAAAAATGGCAGAGGTATTATTAGGAACTCAAATGAACAGTCCTATGTAAAAATAACAGCCAATGTAATCGAGGTACAACATTCCCATAGTTTTGGGGGACCAGATTTAGATTATTAACTCTACCTAAAAGTTCTGAAATATCTTGGTATGTTAGAGAAGAAGAGATGCAAACGTGAGGGAGGGCAGTGCAAAGAACACAAGGTAACAGGCCTGAACTTACGCCGCTCTTCTCTGTGCCTCTCAGTCTCTGCAAAGTACTGGCGGAGCTCCTCGGTGATTTCCATATTGCTCAGGTCACACTCTACTTCGTCACCTGAATCTGACTCTATCTCTTCCTCTTCCTGCGGGGCTTCATCTTCTCTTATGGATGCCTGGGTTCTACTGTTGTCATGCAGAGGCTGCCCAGAGTTTTTGCGATGTGAAACATGGAAGGGAGGCTCCTGCCAGGCCATGTGCTGGTCTTGATAGTTGGAAGGATGTCCAGCGTCATAAGCAAGATAGTTCCAGGGAAGAACTCCATAAGGGGAGAACCACGGGGAAGTGAAATATGAATCCCTGGACTTTCTGTAGGCGCTCTGGTGGTTTCGCATCCAAGCCATTGCATGATGGTAATGTCGCCAGTACCTTGCATATACTGGGTGAGAATACCAAGATGCAGCAGTTCTCCATTTTGATGTCTATGGAATGGACATATAAGACAGACATCAAACAGTTCATCCTTTAGAGAATCTTCAAAAGCTTAAACATCTAATCAACAGCTATTTCCTGAGTGTTAGGAGTTACTTTTCTGTTACTGTGCTAGAATACCAGGATCAAGGGCAATTTATAGAAGGAAGTGTTAAATAGGGGTTGGCAGTTTCAGAGGGTTAGAATCCATTAAGGCTGGGAGGCATGGCAGCAAGCTGCAGGCATGGTAGCCTAAGCAAGAAGCTGAGAGATCAGATGATCTTCAAGCACAGACTTCAAGTAGAGAGAGTGAGCTGGAAGTGGGACAAGGCTATAAACTATCAATGCCCACTCCACGTGATGGACTTTCTCCAGCAAGGCTACACTTTCTCATAACCTCCCCAAACAGTGCCACCAACTGGGGATCGAGGGTTCAATTACACGAGCCTATAGGTATAGGGATCATTTCTTATTCAAACCACTACACTAGTATCTACGGAATACCTACTTTCCACAAGGATGCTACTGAGCTTAACAAGAAGTGTAAAATAGGTTTGTACCCACAACAGGGAGCAAACGTAACATATTTCCTGAGTTACCCATAGGACTATAGCTGAAGGTTATGGAGGTTTATATAATGTGATTAGTGCTAACAAGGTCACATGCTCTAGAATCAGTGGAGAGGCAGATTCACCTGTGGGGGAATATCTTGGTTATGTTAATTGAGTCAGGAAGACCTGCCCAGTAGGTGGCACCATTCTCTGGCAAGGATTCCAGACTGTAAAATGGAGAAGCATGCATTCATCATCCCATGCTCCTGGCTGTGCACGCAATATTACGGCCGTGATGAACTAACTGTACCTTTGGATTGGGAGCCAATTTTTTTTCTCCCTTAAGTTCCTTTTATCTGAGTATTATATCATAACAACAGGAAAAGAAAGAAACCAAGACAAAGAGGACAGAGGTAAAAAAAGATTGTTTTCTTTTAAAGGGCCTTCCTTTGATTCACAATATTTCCAGTAAGAGTTCAAGTTTTTATTAGTATACGTAATAACAGTTGTATGATGACATCTTCATACTTGTGCATAATGTATTTTGCTGGTATTCTCACCCATTACCCTCTTTCACCCCTCCCATTCCTAATGCTATTCTTCCCAACTCGTCCCCTCTCTACTGGTTGTTTTTTGTCAGACAAGAAAAAAGTCCTGACATTTGTCATTTTCGCTATCTGTAATAGCTCAAGTTAGAAATGGCCTGCTAGTTCTAATGACAACAGCCTCTCGTTCCTTTTCTTGTTTCCTACTAATCTGCTGGCTTACTCTGCTCCTCAATGCCTCAGACATAATTCTAATAACGTATGAGGTGGTGCTTTTGCTTTTAGTTGTCTGACAGACAGGCATCCCTTATGTGAAATGCTGGGGTCAGAAGTGTTTCAGATTTCAGTGGCGTTTGGAATGTCTTCACACATTTTTACTGGAAATCCATAATCTGTACTATCCCTTAATCTGAACTATTGAGTGTGTTGTGTTGGTATACAAACACTTTTTGATTCTGAGTGTTTTGGATTTGATACTCAAACTCTTTTTTCCTTTGCTCAGCGTCCTAAAATGCGTCCATCAAAAAGACTTGGGGGGGTGGTTGGGAAAGGAGTGCTAGGTGTTGAACATAGGGGTGCTGTGCATGCTAGGCAAGTGCTCTACCATGAGCTATAACCCCATCCTAACTTTAAAAAATTCGTAAGAAAAATTGGTAATCTTACCATTGCTGTTATCTCTGACTGCAAAATCCAAGTGGGCACTGAAAGGCAAGCACAGTACGAACATTTGGTCAGCACTGCTGTAGGATAGTCACAAGTATTGCATGGCTTTCCAAATGGCTCTCAAAAGCTTGCCCCTTGATCATGCTTGATCTTCATGCAACAAGAACCTGTTAACCTGGCTTGTGATCTCGTGGTCTAGGGAAGAGCAATGCTCATAGGTATAATTGAGTCAAGGGCCATGCCTGGGTTTATATTCAACTACTTGTTTACTGACAGAAAAGTCTATAAAACTATCCACGTAACTTAGTAGTGTGTGGATACAGAAAAAACGTACAGGGCACAGGCTCCAAGTTTACATATTACTTCACTGCTTTTAAGCACAGGCTGACATCTATTTAAAATAACCTTGGTTTCTCTACTTTTTGAACATTTATTTACTATTCATTATGTATGTGGCTGTGGTGTGTATGCCATGACACGTATGTGTAGAAGTCACTTGTGAAGGAGTCACTTCTTTTTTCCTGTGGGCTGGACTCAGGTTGTCAAGCTTGGCAGTATGTAGGAGGCACTTTGACCCACAGGGCCATCTTGCCAGCCCAACCTTGAGAAGACCATCTTTCCAAATGACTGGAAGCTTCTGTTAGGTCTTGCCTTAAGTTTGAGACTTGCAGAAGCCTCTTGAAACAAGATGATTCTCCAGTCTCCGCTTTGGCTTAGGTTCCATGCCATATTCTTTCCCTAATCACCCTACTTCCTTGCAGCAGGTAGAAGTGCTTGTCACACAAGACGGATGACCTGGAAAGCACAGCAGACAGAAAGATTCCCAAAAGTTGTCCTCTGACCTTGGCCTGTACACACACACACTGAGTTAATTTCTTGTCCTTGGTTACAGTTTCTAAAATGCTTGGCAACACCAGAAAGTACTCTTTTTTTGGGTTTTTCAATACAGGGTTTCTTTGTATTGTTTTGGAGCCTGTCCTGGAACTCGCTCGGTAGACCAGGCTGGTCTCGAACTCACAGAGATCCACCTGCCTCTCTCTGCCTCCCAAGTGCTGGGATTAAAGGCGTGTGCCACCAACGCCCGGCTCTCAGAAAGTACTCTTAAAATAGCTACCATCAGGCATGGTGGTGCATGCCTGAAAATTCCAGCACTTGAGCGGCTGAGGCAGGAGGATCACCATGAGGTCAAGGTCAATATGAACTACAGAGATCTTGTCTCAAAACAAACAAACAAATAGATAAACAAACAAAAATATCTTAAAATACATACAAATTTAAGATCGTATGAGACAAAAACACTGTGATAATTAAGGTTTCAGAAACTTCAGAAATTCGATCTCAAAGAAGCACTATTTGTCTTACTTAACTAGCAGACAGTCTATACAAACCCCAAACTGTTAAAAAACAAAACTGACATATTTTTTGACCTCAGTGAAATGTTTTCATGAGTATGTTAAAAAAAACTAAGATGTCACACTATCCTTGCTTTCAGATTTATCTTAAAAAGAATCATTCATATTAAAATGTAACAAGCTTTCAAATAGGGCATTGCTAAGATGGTCAACATGAACTTCTGCAGACTTCTCTTAAACACACATACTACTTGCATTCAGGGATGGACACACACACACACACATGTGTGCACGCGTGCACACAGACACAGTGGATGAAAATGGGGAGAAAGTTATCAAATGCAGTGAGTATGTAAGCTGAATTGATCTTTTCAACTCTAATTTAAACGTTTAAAAACAGGGTCCATTTCCTGGAAAAACAGCTAGCAGCTAATGTTCTTTATAGGCTATGTAGGAAACAGAAAATAGTCAGTAATTGGGTGTGTTAGCATCCAACAAAATAAAATGCAGATGCAATTATCATAGAAATCAGTGCACACTTAAGTGCTAAACTGCACGGAAGTCTCTAAGTGGCTAGTTCACTAAAGCCAGGTTTCACATTTCTATCACTGAAACCTGAAGAGCTTTCAGTGCCTGCAGCACAAAATGACATCCAAGTGAACTCCATGTGTGTTTTAATCAAGCTTGTTTTCTAGGTTAATAAAGAGCATAGGAATTAAATAAGGAAAGTCCAAGGATCAGGATGTGTCTTCTGGAAATTAAGAGCTTCTCACCTCCTAGCTGGATGTGGCAGTGCATGCCTGTGATCCCAGTTCTCATGAGTCTGAAGTAGAATAGAAAGTTTGAGACCAGCATCAGCTACAGTAGCAAGTTCTAAACAAGCCTGAACTATACATATAGGTAGACCCTGTGTCAAAAAACAAGCAAAGCAGCTGGACATTGGTGGGGCACGCCTTTAATCCCAGCACTCAGGAGGCAGAGGCAGAAGGATCTCTGTGAGTTCGAAGCCAGCCTGGTCTACAGAGCGAGTTCCAAGACAGCCTCCAAAGCAATACAGAGAAACAACAACAACAACAAAAACAAGCAAACTGCTTGTGATCTAGACTTCATTCTATGTCTTACAAATTATAGAAGTAGGTCAAGTCTGATAAGCTCACATGTAATAAACCCCATTATGAATGAACATTTATTATAGGCCCAATCGTGTTTTGACTTATAATTGGGAAGATTCAATCTGGCCTTAAAGGTACTAGCAAATTCAGAAAATCTAAGAGACAGCTGAGGCTCTTCTGCTACAGTTAGATGTTTAGGTAGCATGGGAAAGCAGGTAGCCCTAGAGGTTTAAGGGTAATAGCTGACATTTTCCCAGCAGCTCAAATGTCAACGGCTGTGATTAAAAAGGTCTTCTAAAGAGTTCTAGTTTGCACAGAGGTTGCTTATGATTTGGGTTCAAAAATAATTAAGTAGCAGGGTTGTAGTGATACTATGCTCACTCTAAGCATTCCTGCAAGGCAGAAGCCAGGAAAACCATCTTTGCTCACTAGAGAAACTGCAAGGCAGAAGCCAGGAAAGCCATCTTTGCTCACTAAAGAAACCGGGTTTCACCTTCCTAGCAACAAGTGGTTCATGTTGAACCTGGTGTCCCATCATCTAGAAGATATCATAAGGTAGCATGTCAAATTCTGTCAGCTATGCTGAGGAGAGAGCCATGGTCCTTGTGTGAGCTAAGCAAGGACTCTACAGAGTTAAAGACCTGGTCCAGCTACCAGAAACTTTGAAGATACAATTTATGTCAATGATGGACTACAGGAACTTTGCTAGCAATTCTGTTTGGTTTTGAATACTGGAATAGTTAAAATCGAATTGCTACCACTCTTCAGCACATACAGTGTTACTGGGGCTGGATATCAGGAATGCTCACATCACCCTAGGCTGTAGTACTTTTCCCTCCTGAATCTCCAAACCAATTTATCATACTCTTTTACATTTTAGGGTTCCCAAGATCCTATATTCAAATTAATAATTTTGAAGACTTTTAAGATTTGCACTTACAAATTAATCTTCCAAATTCAAATAAGATAAAGCACAGAGAAATAGTCGAAAGGAACAATTTGCACTGAGCTTTACATATATAATTATTAGCTCAGTATCTCTAGTATTAATCTTCAGTAAAGGTCCAGATAGGAAGTATTTTAGGATTGTGTGCCACATACAACCATTTTTACATGTTAATGTTCATCTTTGCTTTAAAAAACACCCAACAAAGCAAGCCCCCCACCCCAAACTTTTAAAACATCAACTCAATTCCTAGCGTCCTGCTGACCACAGTTTTAACTTAACATAATACCTACTGAGCATCCCAAATGTTTTTCACTTTCTACTTGAAGTCAGTGGGGGAATTATGTATGTCTTATATATTTCAGGAATTATTAAGCTTTACATAACACTAGCAGAAAGAGATTAGGATTGACTCTAATCTTGGTAAGCGATTCCTAATATTTGGGGCAAAAAAAAAAGAAAAATATTTCCATGAATAAGTAAGGAAATTGGAATATTTACTAAAGCTCTTCATAGACATTTAAAGACTTAATCCTGGAGAGAGGGCTCAGGGGTTAAGAGCACTAGTTGCTCTTGCAGAGGATGGGTTTGATTCCCAGAATCCACACAGGGGCTCACAACCATCTGCAACTCCAGCTCCAGGGGAATCCAATGTCTTCTGACTGACTTCCTTGGGCACTATATGAAGGCAGTGCACTTATGTACATGCAGACAAAACACCCATACACACAAAACAAAAATAAATAAGTTTAAAAAAGCAACAACAAAAGAGATGAGTAAAATAGTATTAATCAGCAATAGAAAGCATGGGTAGGGCCATGATTTCTTTTTTTGTTGTTGTTGTTGTTGTTTTTTACGAGACAGGGTTTCTCTGTATTGTTTTGGAGGCCGTCGGTCCAGCCTGGCCTGGAACTCAGAGATCTGCCTGCCTCTGCCTCCCGAGTGCTGGGATTAAAGGTGTGCGCCACCACCACCCGGCTAGGGCCATGATTTCTGATGCAGACTGCTAACTTGTCAAAGCTAGACAGTAACATGAAGAAGCCGGTATGGCAGAGTTTTGAGTAGATATACCTGGAAGGAACACACAGTCTTCCTCACAAATGGGAATCTGCTCTAAGAACACCACCTCTCAAAATGAGTCTGGTAACATTTTTAGGCTGGTTAAGGATTTACTAAGAATACTTGGCATCCCTAGCAAAGCTAACACTGCAATGTTCCCAGGCATTACAGCAGCGTTCTCATCTCAAGAAAAGAGGGCCTATGGGGCAGCGGATCTTAAGATCTTCCATTTTATCTTTCATCCCCACTCCCTACACAGAAATCTCTGACTCCTTTTTGGAGCAAGCCTTCAGGGACTGAACCAGTTTTCTTCTGGGGGGCTGGTAGAACCGAAAGAAAAGGGATTGGCAATGTCAGGGAAGGCCGGATCCACAGCTCTGCAAACTGGGCAGCCCTCCACAGCCAACACAATGGCATCATGGTCACCACCCAGCTGAGCTCTGGGGAACACAGAGACCATTCATTGTCCTCAACTACCAAAGAAGGGAGGAAAAAAACCCACAACAGCATTGAGGTCATTCACTAAACACTGCTGAGGCCTACAGACAACAGAGCCTCACAGTCTTGAATGGTATATTTTCCCATACAGCCTTTCTAAGGCAAGAAAAGACAGGGGGAAAAACAAAAACAAACAAAAACCCACCCCAAACACCCCCCACTTGTTTTGCAGTGACTTTGCTTGCTCTGAAAGATGTGTTTTTAAATGCATAGCTATACATGGAGAACAAGAGCTTTGTCATTTTTCCACAGATAATATGTGACTATTTCCACTAAATTACTAAAAATCCCCACCTATCATACTTTGTTAAAAATATGTATTCTTTCCACTGAATATTTATATACTATTTCTATTTTCTTGAATATATATATTCTTATAAATATAGGATGTGGGGCGTGCCATGACAACCAGGGAGTAAAGATCACAAATTCTCTCCAAACCACGAACTTTCTTTCTGCTTTTCTTCCTTTTGTACAATTTTGAAAATTAAATACATTAAAGCTCATTTGCTTTTACTTTTGCAAAGGAAGACAGTCAAAAATCAATTATTAAATTAGTCTTTGTGGCTACAGTCTGAAGGCTCAACCCTTTCTTATTGAGGTCCCGACTAATTTGGCTGTGAGCCAGACTGACAGTTTGGGGATGCAATTAAGACCCTCAGAACACGCTGCTACAAAGGAGCATGCTGGAGTTAAAACAAACTAAATGAAGGCACCATGAGCAACAGTAGTTAAGTCACATGTGATTCTAAGAAATCTTCCTGAACATGTAATGCTAACCCTATCAGGGAAGCCTTTCAATCGTACAAACACCAGTAGTTAGCTCAACGAGGAAAAATGATAACATGCCAATTTCTGACAGTTTGTTGTCTGCCCTCCTACTCTGGTGTGGTAGCTAGTTGAGCACATCAGGCTTGACACCTCATGGATTTCTTCCTATGGTTCTGTATGGTCTCTACTCAGTCATTTAGACATTAAAGATGGCATAAGCCCAAATGGCCTACTTCCACCCACGGGACAAGTCCGAGATCCATTTTTAAAACAGGAACATTTGTTTACTGTGTGGATGTGTCATGTTTGGTGACAAGTGCCTTTACCCAATGAGCCACCTTGTCAGCCCCCCAAACTCCATCTTTACCTGGATACAGGGCCTGCTTACAAGTATGCATCTCACCGTGTTTGTATCCTAACAGCCACCTTTAAAGCTGAAGATGGAGGGAGACAAGCAAGTATTATTTAATTCCTTTTCACTCTCTCAAGCCCAGGTTTGTCTGGGTGTTGCAGTTAAGTGTTGTCACAAGGAAGGCATCGGGAGTGGGAGAGAAGACCAAAAGAGTATAGTTAACAACTCTTGTCCGTCTGCCTCCATACAAATCACATTCCATCCACAGAAAGGCATTGTTTAGTTTATCAGCAAGACTGACAAACATTTGTGAATGATTTTATTTGCAAGTACACTGAACCCTTATGAACTGTGAGGCCATGAAAGGGCAGGATATTCTGACTCAGGAACATCACAGGCAGTAAAGGAATTGAAAACGGGGACCACAGAGAATGGCAATAGCGATCCAGTTGAAAAGAAGAGACAGATGGTGCTCGTTCCATTCCATGCATGTGTCTTTCATACAACATACCCGTGTGGCCATGAAAAAATAGGGGTTCAATAGAGCACATACTCAAAATTATTGGTACAGTAGTAAAAATCTTTAGTTTAAGCACTTAAAGCCACTTTTATATTTCCAGACACTTGTATATATTCCTAAAAGTCCCATGCTAAATTTCTTTTTCTGAATACTGTACTTGCTCTGGGAACTTTTATGGTAGGACAGACCTGACAATTTATTTCTTTTAGAGTTCCCATTTTTCTCCCACCAGAGAAAATGATAGGTATTATGTCCCGCCTTTGGAGGCTACTGGAATTGTTGAAATTGTTGTATCTCGATAATATTCTCTCTTACCTCTACTCCCCCCAAATTACTAAGGGTGCAGTAACTAAAAAAATTGTAAAAAGCTCTAAATGTTCTCAGCAGTACATTTAAATACAGTAATATATTTTAAATTCATCTGGCCTTAATCAAACAGTTACAGTTTGTATCGCTTGTCCGAGTATTTTATGGGTGAATTTTCTAATGTAAAGAAGTAATTCTGTGAGTTTTATATTGTATTTGTGAACTCTCTTATCTATCTATACTCCAGCAATGTTTAATTTCCTGCTGTCAGTCTTATCTCAATTTCTCCGTAAATGCTGGATTTTAAGAAATACAAACTGATTCTCTGCCATCTGTAAAAATAGTTTTAGAATGAAAATGTCTCTCTGCAGCTTTAGTTTGTCTACTTTCCCAGTGCAGCAGTCAATAGAGGGGATTATATACCTTA